TTGCTACTTAGGCAGTGCTGCTTTAGGGCAGCGCCTTTGTCTCGGCGTAGTGGGTGATGTAGTCAGTAGCAACGACAATTCACCAGTTCCCAACAGTTGAGGTCATAAACGACTTAAGTTCGTACCAACTTGCTGGAAAGGTCGGCAAGGTGGTTCGTTGTGCTACACAAGTTCTGCGGGCCTATTCAGCGGTGTCCTGCGACTCTGACAGTCCCAACATGTCCTCTTGTATCTAGTGACGTCAGCGGTAACGCGTAACCAGTAGTACTTGTATCCTCGCGAGCGTGCGGAAAACACTGAGGTGTTCAGCCGTCAGTTCGTCATGCAGAGCCTGGATGACCTCTGATCACAGTGTTGAAGGCACCACAACAAGGCACTTGACTAGAAGCAGTGATAACTTTTTTTTTGAAGAAGGCCATATCGAATAACGAACGACTGAAGGGCCTGCTTGGATATCCTCGGAACAACGACAGTCCTGCCCTTGAGAAATTCCATTAGGCCTTTGGGTTCCGCATTGACTCGCTGACGTTCAGTGAAGTTGTCGGCACTTATCGTTCTCAAGAAGAATATTCTGGTCTTCAGACAGTGATGGGTCAACGGGGGAAAGTGACAGAGAGTCTGCGTCGGGCTGTTTTCTGCATGACTTTAAATTATGGTAATTTTATATTTTTTTAGGTCTCGGGTTAGATCGCGCAAAGGCGACCTTAAGGGTCCTTCAGTTTTGCTAGCGAACACAAGGCGTGGTGGTCTATGACAGTTTGAAGCGCCTGTCGTAGAGGTAAGGACGAAACTTGACGTAGCCCACATGATGGCAAGGCACTCCTTTTATGATGTAGAATAATTGGCTTATGCTTTGAATAGCGAACCACTAGTGTAACTAATTATCCTGACCACTCCATTTGCCTTCCGCACAAGGATGGCGCCGATTCCTACGCTGCTTGTGGCAGTGTGCACTTCTGTTTTGGAGTTTACATCAAAATACGCGAATAACAAAGTCGTTTGCAGCTGTCATTTTAGTTTCTGAAATGCTTTCTTCCGCGGCATTTCCCACTTGAACTTGACGTCACTCCTTTTAAAGTTAGTCATTTACTCATTGATGTGGGCAGTTTTTGACAAAGAACCTGATATAGGTGGCGTACAACCCGAGAAATCAACGCACGAACTTCTCATCGGCGGGTGGCAGGAGTGTAGCGATGTTGGCTATTTTGGTGGGAGTGTAGCGCGTGGCGGAAATGCAGCGATAACGGCTCACTTACTCCGAACTTCCTTATGACGTGACCCAAAAACACAAGTTCCTCGTACGCGGAAGGGTACCTTTCTGGGTTCAGGGTGAATCCGCAGATATTGGTGGCTTGAAGTACAGCTTCAAGGTGCCGAAGGTGCTCGTCGAAGCTCGAAGAAAACACGACTTTGTCGCAGTACACGAGACAAATCTGCCGCTTAAATCCTGCTAGCAAAGTATCCATAACGCTTTGAAAAGTCGCAGCTGCCGAGCACATATCGAAAGGCATGAGTTTGCACTCGAAGAGGCCATCTGGTTCTATACACGCAGTCTTCTTTCGGTCTCTATTGTTGACTTTGATTTGCTAAGTTTAGGGGTGAAGCTCCTTACACCGTGGGTCGTGTTTGTAGTAGCAGCCACCTCTTGTTTACTCCTTACAACGTCCGCTGGATGGCGGTACTTGTATAGGATGATTATATGATGAAAAGACACGTGGTGGCGGTACTTGGACTGTTCACTAGATGGGTGGACAGGTGGACGGACATACAGACAGACGCACGCACGGACGGACGAACGCGCGCACGCACGGACAGATAAACGGACGGACGAATGAGCGCACGGTTGCTTCGCCTCACTTGTCATCGTTCACTCCGTGGATATGCTGTGATTTTTTTTTTTTTTTGGTTTGAGGTCCTTCGACGACGGCTGCGGAGGCTGCGTTTCCGATCGAGGCGGAAATGTTGTAGGCCCGTGTGCTCAGATTTGGGCGCACGTTAAAAAACCCCAGGTGGTCGAAATTTTCGGAGCCTTCCACTACGGCGTCTCTCATGTTCAAATGGTGGTTTTGGGACGTTAAACCCCACAAATCAACAAATCGAGGTCCATCGACGAATAGTACTTCGTGTTATGAAGTTGATACAAAGTATTGTCTATTTGTGGGAGATAATGAACGTTAATTTAATGATTTAGTTGAGGCATCAGTAGTCGACAAAGAAACGTGGGGTTCTCTTCTTTTTCTACACTGACACCGTAGGTGACGCCCCCGGACTTTTATATAGCTGGATGATGTCTTGGCGTATCATTTCATTAATTTGTCTCTTTACAGGCTCGAGTTCTCGCGTCGAAACTTTGTACGGGCTTTACTAAAGTGGTCTGGCAATTTGTTACGATGTGATGTTTCGCGCATGGGGTCTGATCATTTTTCTATGATGATGAAAACCAGTCCTTTAGCACTTTGACTTGGTCAAGTTAATACACACCTGCATTGGCTTCAGCGCGATTTAGGCGGAGACCAAGGAGGCATAGAATACAGACGAGCACTGAACACAGACGACGTTCTCTGTGTTTTGTTTTTGTCTCCTTGGTCTTTGTCTAAATCGCACTAAAGCCTATCCAAGCAGACCTTGTATTGCAGAAGCAGGTCCTTGAGTTGTTCGTGCTCATTCTTCTGTAGGCTCGGATTGAGGTCGAAAGTTGGGTTAGGAGCTTCGTTACTCAAGGAATGTTCTGCAGAATTGGTGAGGGGAAAATCATTGGTGGCTTCCAAAAGTTTGTCGATGTAGGCGACCTTCGTGCCTTCGTTCACGTGTGTGTACTCGTTACGGAAATTTGTGAGCTTGACTGTTGCTTTTTCTCCGCGCAGCTTGGCGATTTCTCTTGCAAGGCAAATGTTGCGGTTAACCAACTGGTGATCATTGCCTTCAACAACGCCTTCCAGGTCTTCTGTTTTCGAAGTGCCGACGGAAAGAATGACTCTGAGCGAGGCAGAATGGTGACTAGTTGCTCCAGCATATTCAAAGCATGGTGCTGTGGTAGTGGATGCGTCGGGAGTGCTTTTTTGGTGAATAGCGTGTGCACTTAGTTCTTAGGTCGACGAGTGCATCATGGAGGCTTACGAAGTTCATACGAAGGATGACATCTCTTGAGCATCACTGCAGGACTACAAAACTTGTAGTATGAATCCGGGTGTTAATGGTGGCTCGAGCTGTGCGAATTCCTGCTGCTGAAAGTCACCTGCAGCTGTCCGGATTTCAGGTCCTTCCCAAGAAGTTGTAACTTTCTTCGACATCACGGCGATCGACCCCCTATTGACGAAATAGTCGGATCCAGCATCGACGAGAGCAGTGACGTCGTGTCCGTTGATTGGAACGTCGAGGTACCCAGTTAGTCACCTTGCATAGTGGTTAGGCCATGGCGTCAGATGTCGGCTACGTCGGTTTGCAGCGTTGTTAGCACGTGGCAGTGTCAAATTTTCGTCTAACCCCAAGTTTTCATTTCAGGGCTATGTTCACGTTACGGGGGTTCTTGAGGTGTCGTCGCGGCATCATCGTCAGCGGTGGAGGATCTTTGGTAGTTCGTCGCACAGCAACCACACGTTCATCGGCAGCTGCCCTTAGGTTTCCGAGTATAGGCCCAGCGATCGGCTCCGAGTAGGGCCTGCTTACTGGCGGCGTTGTGGTTAGATGTACCGGCCTGCGGATGGTCAATTGAAAGATCCTTGGGGTATCCTATGTGCTGCTGCAAGGTATTAGGTGATGCCACGTGGTGTTTCACCCCGCAGTGGACGCAGCGCGTCGTTAGCGAAAACACGCAGTCCCATTTGGCCGTATTGGCAGCGCTGGTTGGCGTGGCCAATTTCTCTGAAGGGGTAGTAGAGAGAACGTTGGTCAGGGTTGCGCGACAAGTCGGTTTTCCTCTGAACGTTGCGCTGGCTGGCAGGTGAATGGTATGGCGGCGGCGGCAGAGACTGTCGGCGGAATCGCAATGGGACAGCGTCTTGACGTGGGCCTGGAGGAGCGTTGCAGCACACTTCAGCGTCGTAACTCGTAGCTTCTGGTTGAGACAGCGGTATTCCAGAAATTTGTGTAGTACATTTTGTGTAGTAGTGATAGGTTGGCAATATGACAGTGATAGAAAAGGGTGGGTAGGAATGTGTGTGCCAATAATCAGGGTGCACTTACCTCGATGAACATGACGGGTTATTGAACCAGTAGGTGCGATTAGGCAGGATTTCTAGTGCGTTTGTGAAGTACCTTTGTTAATGGTTCAAGGTTTCAGATGCGTGTTCAGTTTTTAGACGCAATAATGATTTGTAGATCAACACTTTATGAGATGAGGCATTTGGTAGATGAAGCTGCATAATGAACACAATATATCGCGAGCATATTTTAGGTAACTTTTTGGGCCTTCAGTGAGAACTTCGTCACTTTGAAGCGTAGTCTTACAGAGTGAATTGTTATACACTAATTTGAAGTGACCTCTGGCAAGGTGACTGCATAAATCTATAGTGATTTCAAGCGAAATCTGGCTGCGTGACTTCTAATCAGTTTTTAAACAATGACATCAGATTACGTTCGCTTATTTCGAACGGCCTTTCTTAGCACTACTGAAAGCCAGGAACACAAGCATAGCATGCAGACAAAAATTTTGCATCTTGTACTTACTTATTGTGGTCAATATATTTCACAGGAAAACATGAATCACATCGCTCTTTATAATCACGTGTTTCACATTAGCACAGAACAACGCTTTATGGTTGACGAGTGCTTGCAAAAAGGCGTTCTGGCTCTGAAACGTACTTATCTTGTCGCTCAAGTATTTTGCTTTTCTCGTTCTGTACTTGCATTGCGACGCCTTCATCGTTAATGTGAAATTAGACTACGTGGTCAGCCACACCGGCTGTCTCCATTCAATTTCACGAATGTTGGTAAATGATTCAACCTCAACATGAGGTGTTGACAGAAGCTAATTTTTTGTCATTCCACATATTCAGGTGAATGTGCGCTACATGACTGTATCTAGTCCTTCCGTACGACTGAAGTTTTGTGCAATGGAAATATTAACTGTAAGTAAAAATATTATTTTACACCAACCGCCTATTCTATCTATTATCTTTTCTTTTGCTTGAATTTTACGTGGCTCTGTTTTTTTTCACAGGTAAGTCAAGAGACTTTCATACTCCGGGAAGGAAAATATGTTCATGCACTCCGCACACTGGCAAACCTACGAGGCCATGTTCGGAACAACACGGAGAAGTACGGAATCTACGACGGCGTTTACCTCGTAACCGGGTGCGCATCTTACTATTCATTTCTGAGTGTTTTGTATTACCTTTTGATTGCTCCTACAATGCTTTGATTCTCTGTGTTTCGCAGGCTTGACATGGGCGAGCGCACCTATTACGGCTGGAATGGCAACCTTTTGGGTAAGGCTCTTTTGCACACAAATATGGTAAGTACAGCATGCGCGTGCATCGAATGTTTCAGTGAAAAAAACGATACTTTCAAATCGAGTGGTGCGAATTCGCACAATAAATTTATTTGGATGAAAAGCTACCCTTTATTGTCGCAAGACCTCTTTTTAAATTTACATAAGGAGTACTACACATAAACAGCTAACTATGCTGCGTGTTTGTCAGGCTAATAACACCAACCTATGGTGGTCTGTTATTCATAATTTTGAGGGAACTATTAGGCAAGTTTACTTTTGCTTATTGAGGGGCACTGAAGTGATTGTACGCTTCTACATCTTTGACAGCAGTGAAAACCCTGTCGTTTCATGTGTCATGGGAAAAATTAACTGTTTCGAGTGCCGGTTGTTCAGAAAACCTTGATTTTTTTTGAACGACAACCGTTGCTCCTTTTCACAAAATATTTAAATAAGGAATGCATCAATGCACAAGACCTAATTAGGTTACACGTAATGTCAACATGGTCTAGCATGACATGAATGACTGGTTTTATAGTACAGCAGCCTGAGAAAGCACACTTGAATGTCTAGCCATAAAGACAAATTATGTGTTCATATGCAACACATCCAAGTCAAGCCAAGTTGAATATCGCTAGGCTTTCACAACATAGAATTTTTTTCTTTATACTTCCCAGGATTACAGGTAGGCTCTCGAAATATATTCAGTGCTGTTATAGCCCGATAAACTACTACCTAATAAAAATACCAGAAAGATACTTTGTTTTTTCTGGCGAATTGAGTGTAAAGGCAGTCATGCTGATTCACAGGTGGGAATAATGTAAACATCTAGGAGTAAGCTAGAAATTTTGTTGATATCAATTGATTTAGGTGAAAAGGTCAGTTGACAGTGTGACGTGTATTGACAAGCGTTCATGATACATGAGAGGTTGGTGCGATAAAATGAGGCTTAATTTTTTTGTAATTTACGTGGCAATGAAAGATAGAACCCTTCGTAGAATGAGTAGTTGGCTACAACAAAATAAATAACGGGGCATGTCTCTTGTTATTACAGGCTATGCATACATAGGCGGCATATGCACCTGGCAGAAAGTTGGTTATGGAGAAGACACAGTAGGAACATTCAGAGGCATCCGGATAGTGGCACACGAAATCGGACACCTGTAAGATGGCCGCAATCTTTTACTTTCAAAGGCCACCGTCATTCTTCAGATGTTTAGAACTAATCTTTCTACAATTTAGCTTACGATAAAGTCTGCTATGTGAGAAGAATAAGATGTTCCGATTTCAGGACATAAAACCAGACATACCATAGAATGCAGCCACAAAGAAATTTTGATCTGCCTGTCTGCCGCACGATTGAGCCACCCAGTCAATGTTTAGGCACTTGCTGAATGCCCAGCCGTCTTCACCTGGTGGCTGCGCTCATATTTGTGAACACTGTCGTTCAGAAATCAAATATTACGCATATCTCAGGCACAAAATCAATCAATCATCATCATGAGCAGCAGCAGCAGCACCAGCAGCATGACTACGTCCACTGCAGGACAATGACCTCTCCCATGTTCCGCCAGTCAACTCGGTCCTGTGCTTGCTGCTGTCAATTTATACCCGCAAACCTAATCTCATCTGCTCACCTAACCTTCTGTCTCCCCCTAGCCCGCTTGCCTTCTCTAGTAATCCAGTTAGTTACCCTTAATGACCAGTGATTATTCTGTATACATCCTGCATACCCAGCCCATGTACATTTCCTCTTCTTGATTTCAACGACGATATCCCTCACCCCTGTTTGTTCCCTAATCCACTCTGTTCTCTTCTTGTCTCTTAAGGTTACACCTACCATTTTTTTTTCTATTTCTCGGTGCCTCGTCCTCAATTTAAGCTGAACCTTCTTTGTAAGTCTCCAGGTTACTGCTCCGTAGCTAAGTACAAGCAAGATGCTGGTTTTATATACTTTCCTTTTGAGGGATAGTGGCAATCTACCTGTCATAATTTGGGAGTGATTGCCAAATGTGATCCACCCTATCCTTATTCTTCTAGTGGTTCGGCTCCGTGGTTATTACCTGTTCTAAGTAGACATAGTATTTCGCAACTTCAAGTGCACTATTACTTATCTCGAAGCGCTGTTCTATTCTGAGGTTGCTGTACATTACTTCCCTTTCCCGCAGATTAACTTTAGGACCTATTTTTCTTCTCTCCTTGTCTAACTCCGTAATCAAGAGTTGCAATTTGTTCCCTGAGTTACGCAGCAATTCAATGTCATCGGCGAAGCGCAGGCTACTAACGTACTCTTAATTAAACCTTATGCCTAACTGTTCCCCTTCTAGGCCTCTGAAAACCTCATGTAAACACGCGGTAAATACTATTGGGGAGATTTATCCCCCTGCCTTTCACCCTTCTTGATCGGTATTCTGTCGCTTTCTTTATGAAGCGCTATGGTAACAGTTGATCCTCTGTACATTTCTTCCAGGTTGTTTATATATGTTAGTTGACGCCCTGATACCGCAGTGTCTGCATGACTGCTGAAATTTCTACTGAATCAAATGCCTTCTCGTAATCTACAAGGCTATGATAGTGCTTGGCTATATTTTGAGCATTTCTTTATTACCTTATTGATAGTATGAATGGGGTCGATTGTTGAGTAGCCTGTTCGAAATCCTGCTTGTTCTTTGATTGATTGAATTGCAATTTTGTCTTAATTCTGTTAGAATAATTACCTTTGTAAATTGCTTGTATACTACAAAAAGCAAGCTGAGTGGCCTGTAATTCTTCATGTCGTTGTCATTTCCTTTCTTATGTATTAGGTTGATGTTAGCATTCTTCCGAGATTCCAGTACTCTTCCCGTCAGGAGATGCGTCGTAAACAGGGTCACCAGTTTTTCTAACACAATTCATCTTCCATCTTTCAGCAGATATTATGTTACCTGATCCTCACCAGGTGCTTTGCGTCTTTGCATGCTCTCAAACGCTTTCCTGACTTCTTCTATCCTTACTGGTGGCGTGTCATCTGGGTTACTGCTAGTTCTTATAATCAATACGTGAAATACGCAAACGCAATGTACAAAATACGCAAGATCAATAAGTAAGTATTATGCTGTATGATCCTTTATTCGAAAATACGTGAACACATACTTATATAGAGGCTAGTGTTTCTTACGCAGAGGAAAAAAATACCACGCTATGGACTAAAAAGACGGCCGGCTGAAGACTATCATCTTTCGATGACATTTCCAGCGAAGCCACGATTATGCTCTTCTATTTTTTTGTTTTCTAATTATTATCTATTATTAGTTATTCGTTGTTCTGGTACCACGGGCACGTACCGCCACAGAAGTGTTTGCTTGTTAGGGTATAATATGTATGCATAGGTACGCCGCAGCATTTCCAAAGGTCACACTGTGATGGCAGTGAGTTCACAATTTAGACGTTCAGAGAGACCAGCATGTAATTTGGCAGACCCTTTCGGGAGTAGCACGCAGAAAGTCACCATTAAGCACCCATTTTGTGTCTTTCAGGCTCGGCTGTCCGCATGATGGAACCACAAGTGGCTCGTATACTTCAGCAAGCTGCCCCTGGAATGACGGTTACATCATGAGTTACATGGAAATTGACAGCAAGAGCATGAAGTTTTCAAGTTGTTGCAACTCAATGATTTCCTGGCATGCATGGCAAGTTACTTGGTTTTGTGTGAGCATTGACCAGCATAAACTGTTGAACCACCGTGTTTGTGGAGAGTAATTTGTTCATCAGAGAAACTTGGCCTTCTTAATTACTTTCACTTTGCCAGTCTACCAGACTACATGATCGTGCTGTTTTTGTTTTCGCTTAATCATCATGAACAGTGGGCTACAAGTTTAGAAGTGCCTAAGTGATGCTAGCAAAGATATTACATCGGACAGACTTTTAAAAAATAAATTATGCGGCTGACTGGATTTACTGACACAGGTTTGCCCTCTCAATACAGGTCTCGATCTGGTGCCTGCCTTCTAACTGCGAGTGCGAAGCGGAAAATAAAGAAGATATATTTCACAAAGCTATTCGCTGGAGACATAATGACCAGAGACCAGATCTGCAGGATATCATTTCCGAATATACCCGAAACCCGTTTTATCAAAGTGAGTCAATCTGTGACTTTGAACTTTAAGGTTTTTATCGGATGTTGAACATCGCTTCCGAACCATATGGGAAGTTCTGGTCACCTTAACCACAAGATTTCAAGACCTCTAATGTGAGGTAGATAACGCATAAATATTACTTTGGGCTTTGGATGAATGCTGTGAACAAAGTTATATGCACCCTAGGATAATCAACCTTCCTGAAAAAAAAATCACAGAGCACATAGCTTGTGTCAACTCTACCACATGACGTTGAAGTTTTTCCAGCACTGTCTCTTATTTGGCAATCTCAGTCAATCCAGGCTGGCTTGTATAACAATGGTGAAATGATTTATTACCATGTCTTGCAATGCATTGTTCTACATGATAAGGTGTTTCGCATACGAATTCAGCTAGCTCTTCAAAATCAAGCTGGCACTTTGCATAAGAAAGCTACTGGAGGGACTCTGCAAAAGTTTATGCACTCGACGTTCGGTTGACGACCCTTCTAATGTCTTAGTGTATGACGACGTCTTCGTTTACATTGAAGATCTTTTACAAAGGTCGTGAATCAAAAGTGACAAATTATTTTTGCAGTCTGAACATTGTAAAAGCGTATATGGCATGGATGGTAGAAAGATTGCATGCTGGATCTTTCATTCACATATTATTGCCTTGATGATTCAAAATCACGTTCAACGCGAGAACGCCGGTTGCATTGTGTGGCCGTGTTGCTAACGTGTAGTGGTGGTACACGTATTAAGTGTTGTGGTTAACTTGCAAGTAGCGCGTTGGGCTGTGGTGCCGGTCCCACGCCCCACTTCCCGCCAATTTTTTGTCTATGTATTTTGCGCGCTTTTTTGGGAACAGTAGGGCTACCTGTCACCGGCACGTATCTACATCAGTGTACATTATTTAAACTGTAGATGATAATGCCAAATGGATATCCACAGGCAGGTTGTCGCTAGTGGAGGTACATGCCAAAGATCTCGGACTAGCCACACAACGCACTACTGTTGCACTAAATCTAAAGTAAGTCGCCATAGGCACCGACGCAAGTCGCACGGAATTCGGGCAAGCCCTGCAACTTACTACGGGTTGCACTTAAGTGTAGTAACACGCACCATGCTCAAGTGATTCCTCGAGATTTTTCAGAACACAACAAGAGCACGCGGCCAGCCAACAGGTGATTCATGTCGCTGGGAAGAAAAAACCATTGCTCCTCCATTGTAAGCCTCACGGAAAGCGTTACCTCAATTAGACGGCAAGCACAAGAACAAAATCTCAGCCATCAGTCAGATTTGTGATGTTTATCGAGCTTTTGTGACTGATTTTACACTCCTTCCGGCTCCTTGGGTCGTTTCCGCACTAGATAAACACTCGCTGCGCTCGATACATCGGACGAAAAGCAGTTTTGACAGCATGGCAAAATCTGGCGAATAATGACCAGAGACCAGATCTGCAGGATATCATTTCCGAATATACCCGAAACCCGTTTTATCAAAGTGAGTCAATCTGTGACTTTGAACTTTAAGGTTTTTATCGGATGTTGAACATCGCTTCCGAACCATATGGGAAGTTCTGGTCACCTTAACCACAAGATTTCAAGACCTCTAATGTGAGGTAGATAACGCATAAATATTACTTTGGGCTTTGGATGAATGCTGTGAACAAAGTTATATGCACCCTAGGATAATCAACCTTCCTGAAAAAAAAATCACAGAGCACATAGCTTGTGTCAACTCTACCACATGACGTTGAAGTTTTTCCAGCACTGTCTCTTATTTGGCAATCTCAGTCAATCCAGGCTGGCTTGTATAACAATGGTGAAATGATTTATTACCATGTCTTGCAATGCATTTGTTCTACATGATAAGGTGTTTCGCATACGAATTCAGCTAGCTCTTCAAAATCAAGCTGGCACTTTGCATAAAGAAAGCTACTGGAGGGACTCTGCAAAAGAATTTATGCACTCGACGTTCGGTTGACGACCCTTCTAATGTCTTAGTGTATGACGACGTCTTCGTTTACATTGAAGATCTTTTACAAAGGTCGTGAATCAAAAGTGACAAATTATTTTTGCAGTCTGAACATTGTAAAAGCAAGTATATGGCATGGATGGTAGAAGAGATAGCATGCTGGATCTTTCATTCACATATTATTGCCTTGAATGATTCAAAATCACGTTCAACGCGAGAACGCCGGTTGCATTGTGTGGGCCGTGTTTGCTAACGTGTATGTGGTTGGTAGCAGCGTTATTAAGGTGTTGTGGTTAACTTTCTGAGCAAGAGCCACCACAAAACAATCAACCCCGCCAAGCACTTTCCCACCTTTGTCTATGTCTTTTGCGCGCTCGTTTTTGGGGAACAGTAGGGCTACCTGTCACCGGCACGTATCTACATCAGCTGTACCTTATTTAAACTGTAGATGACATGCCAAATTGATATCCACAGGCAGGTTGTCGCTAGTGGAGGTTACATGCCAAAGATCTCGGACTAGCCACACAACGCACTACTGTTGCCACTAAAATCTAAAGTAAGTCGCCCATAGGCACCGACGCAAGTCGCACGGAATCGGGCAAGCCCTGCAACGTACTACGGGTTGCACTTAAGTGTAGTAACACGCACCATGCTCAAGTGATTCCTCGAGATTTTTCAGAACACAACAAGAGCACGCGGCCAGCCAACAGGTGATCATGTCGCTGGGAAGAAAAAACCATTGCTCCTCCATTGTAAGCCTCACGGAAAGCGTTACCTCAATTAGACGGCAAGCACAAGAACAAAATCTCAGCCATCAGTCAGATTTGTGATGTTTATCGAGCTTTTGTGACTGATTTTACACTCCTTCCGGCTCCTTGGGTCGTTTCCGCACTAGATAAACACTCGCTGCGCTCGATACATCGGACGAAACAGCAGTTTTGACAGCATGGCAAAATCTGGCGAAAGACTTCAGTGACTGTCTCGGTCACCTCATTGTACTTGTTAATGAGTTGGTGACTACGTCATTGGCCTCCCGAGTGCTCTCCAGAATCGAAACTGCCTCTGGTCATAGCGTCGAGGCAAATGAGTTTTCTTGCCGCTATTGTCAAGTCAGCAGTCACTTATATCGAGAAAAAAAATTATTGACAAAGACTACCACTGCTTCAGCAGCTTTTTCCTTATGCGTACGTGTGAAGATCACCAACAAACTGAAAATGTGAAAAATCTGCAGGAATGCTCACATAGCTTGTTAAACTAGCAACCATATATACTTGAGGCAGTACATTATCAAGTTATGAATGTTTACTGGGGCAAGACTGGCATCTTCCTTTACGCATAAGAACAAAAAGCTGTTTTTTGTATCACGTAATTGTATTCTGGTTGTCTTGTGACACACTTGATTGCATGAGCTATTCGCCATCGGTAGTTTCATTTAAGTAATCAGTGAGTGTTTAAGATTGCCGACATAGGTTGAACAGCCCCCCCCCCTCAAAAATCTAATAGAGGCAAAACTTTTTAGCTTACTATATATAAAATATAAACAGCGGGTAATAAGAAAAAAAAATTGCCCGCAGCTTCCCTCGGGGGAACACTGAGGAGGATGCGGACCATATAATTGGTTAACGGGGTGTTAAAGTGCGACTTACTTGGGTCGATGGCTAAACTGGTTAAAGTGGTTGTGAAATGGGGTGTTAAATTGCGACTTACTTGGGTCGATGGCTAAATTGGTTAACGTGGTTGTAGGAGGGGGTGTTAAATAAGTGAACACGTACACACGTATGCGAAAGGGCGGCGCTGGTCGAAGGGACGTCGATCATTGTGTTTGTGGATTCGTTGGAATTCATTTCACTGCGACCTTGGACGTCGACGCGCCGTACAAACCAACCGACGAGCGGCAACTGAGCGAGCGAGCGCCGACCTTGAGTATATATACAGCACGACGGCGCATGCACTGTCTGCTGTTGAATGTTCTCGAAGCGCGACGCCACATGCGCGTCCACTGGAGAATCAGGAGAATTGTAGATGTCGAACGCGGTGTGTAGAGGAGGAAGGGTGGACAGATGGTGGAGGAGTGAAGCACGCGCGGTGTGTAGAGGAGGAAGGGATGCACAGATGGTGGAAGAGTGGGCGACGGCGCGACGGCGCATGCGCGCGCGTCAGCTGTCGAATGTTTGAGAAGCGGTGCGGACGGCGCGGACGGCGCACTACAAGGCGCGAGTATAATCAGATGCTCCGCATCTAAAAAAACAAACATAAAATCATAGCAGCAATAGAGGAGTAATTATTCAGCAAACTTTCTAACTGGTTGGAATAGCATAAGCAATAGTTCCAAGAATAATTTAAGGGGCGTGTTAAAAGGATCCACTGCTAAAGGCAGTGTGGGCTACTTTGCCACCGCAGAAAGCTGAAATTAGTTATAGCAAGACAGGTTGTATGTCACCATTTCAATAGCAAAGCTGTTTAAACAAGCTGTAATGACTTTTCTTTGTACAAAAACTATGACCATCATGAAAATGAATGCACTGCAGATATCAAGCAAAGGCGTATACCGATTACCGCTGGATCAATAAAAATTAGATAGCCAATATAGGGGCAGAACAAAAAAAGTTTTCAATTGACAGTTGCAGTTTTGCAGTTAACTGAGTGATAATTACCTGGCCGCACGATTTAGCTTCTGCGCGGTACGTTTCAGTGGCACGTGCGACGTCCTAATACTACGCCACAGGAAAGGTCACCTGATATGCGAGAAGACACCAAAGCGGTGGAAGCCCTTCGCGAATCATTACATGCCTGTAGATTGATGGCAGATGCCAAATTTCGCTTTCAGCATCTGCACGTGCATGTCGTGTTTGTTGTTTAACTGGAACTTCACTGCGCTGAGAAGCAACCTAGAGAAAACCTACAAGGAAACAGATTAGACTTCGGAATAGACTAGATTGGTTCTTTGCAGCATTGTACTTTTGTAGGCTTGGTCTTTTTTTTTTCTATTGTGTTTCTGAGCAGTACGGTATCCCGCCGCCAATAAGGTTTCGAAAAGAGATGAGTGATTTTTCGGCTTTTATTATAAGCCCATGTCTCGAAGACACTGCAAGCGCTCTAATCACCTGTCTTTTTTGTGTCGTCAAGAAAACGCTCATATTACATCAAAAGTTGTATATTGCTAGGAGAAACGAAATTTCATTTGGCAGTGGTGTCATGAGTGATCTCCAGTGTTTTAGTTATGAGTTACGCCATTCTCGAGAGCGCGCGTCATTGGCTGCGTTGTAAGTGACGTCGTTGCAGCCTTGTTGCCGAGCCCACGTGCAACAGTTTCTCCCTCCACGCCGAGTTCGCTCATGATGTCAGACCCTTGCAACAACGCGGCGTTGCGGCGTGAATGTGATTATTGCGGGAGCGCGTTCGCCGAGGCGAATGCCGCTTTCGGCGGGAATTTCTTCAGTGGCACAATAGCTTCCGCTACGACATTGCGAAACGCATTTAACCACTCATTACATTCCTTTATGGCCGTGATCATGTGAGACAGAATGTGTGGCATGTGTGGTATCCACGGAGTGAGTGCTGATGAGTGAAGCGAGGCGTCCATCAGCCCGTCCGTGCTTCCATCCGTCCATTCGTTCTTGCTTCCGTCCATCCGCGCAACCACCCGTGCTTCCATCCGTCCGTACGTCCGTGCGTTCGTCCATCTCCCCGTCCGTCTTCCAGTCTATCTGTCCGTCCGTCCATGCGTCCATCTAGTGAACACTCCAAGTGCTGCCATCTCGCATCTCGCATCCCCCGTGGCACATACCCACTCCACGCCATCCATCTGTCCGTTCATCTGCAAGTCTGTCTGTCCGTGCATCCATGCATCCGTCCGGTCGTTCGTCTAGTGAACACACCAAGTACCGCCATCTCTCATCTCGCATTCAGGTGGCTACGTACGACAACGACGGAGGATGGACAGACCCGCGCCTCGAGGAGATTCGCCCCTAAAAAACACCGGGATAAACCTGACTGACAGGTGTGTTTAATCTCATTAAGAAACACGAACATGTGACCAGTAACTGTGAAATGCTTCAGCACCATGTAGGGTTCAGCCCACCGCTAGACACCGGAGCCGCACGTTTCAGCTTTCGCTAGTTAATTATTTGTACGGAGTGAGTTGCCGGCATGCACTGCAAAATCTACTAATCTCCTTGGGAAACTTTCGGTCTGCCGCTGTTAGTCTCGCGCCGTTACTGCACCGATGGTCTAGACCTCCGCTAATGCACACCTTTTGAAATCATTTTGAGGAATAAGGGAACCGAAGCACAATTTACGGCACAAAACACTAACAAAAATCATGGCACATCCACGAAGTGAATTATGATGTGTGGGTGAAAAAGTGGGATCATTCGTCGTTACCGAATGGGCCAAGAATAGTCGGCCCACAATGAAGCCAGGGGCTTCCACACTACACACTGGTATGGACAAGCCCGCTTTCTGTAACCTACCCCTTGTTCACATGTGCAGCAGGAAGGTGTGCAGCTTCGACAAATTTTGATTCTCAGTAGCATTCTGTTGCTTTCTTTTGTGGCTGCTGAAGAATGAAAACGGGTTGCTTAGTTAGGTACAGACTGACAATATATTGTTGCAAGTTTAAGGAGTGTTTATCCTAGTTATACATACACAACGAGACAAGGATCTTTGACTTCTGCTATACTAAGAACAACGTCACCATCTGTACCAAAGTGCATCAAGCAGCCGCTTGTAGTCTGTTACTTAAATCCTCTTTTTAATGGAAAGGGCATTAGGTGTGAGTAGCCGCTGGTGCTTTAGTGTTAAAGACATCTTTAAGTGAATGGACGCCTGTGAGAAGATGATACAAGGTTTGATGGGCAGAGAAGAATAATTGTGGAGATGACGGAGGTATAGCAAGCAGCAAATAAGGTTGATATGCATTACATAGGAAGAGATTTTGCCCTGCAGTAGGCTGTTTATGATGGTGATGCATGTGTTGATGATGATGCATTCTGCTTTAGTGCCGCGGCCTTGCCACAAAATAGTGGATTCTCGCCTGCGGATCAATGGGTGTACATACGGACAGTTCATTTGTGACTTCATAGAAGAATGACGCAGCGTTTCAGGTAAACTTTAGTTCAAATCACCTATCCTGACAAGTTCTCTTTTGAATTCTTTAGGATTACAACGGCTTTGAGAACTGCATGGCAAGGTGCTTCATGCCTAAATCCGTTTACGGATACGAAACATTCATGCCCATTTTTCTGCCGGACAATGCTCCATGCACAGAAAACAACGGGGTAAGATGAATGCAACATGTATAACCAATTTCGTGGATGTGTAAAACGCAGGCATATACAGTCAATATCGAAACGTTAAAAAAAACTTGGTTATGAATATGCACGTCTCAATAACTTGCTAAGGGATAAAAGACGCAGAATAGTCTTAAAAGATATCATTGTAGTTCGTGATAAAAACTTCAGCACTGCATAAAACCTGTCTTTCAGCTGAGATATAGTGAGAAAATGTTGAAATTGCGGCTGAAAGATTATCCGTTGTTTGCTCTCTATAACTGAGGCGTCTTGACGGCTTGACATTTGTCGTTTATTTTTCAAAAAGGTTCGTGCAGAGCAGAGGAAATAGGCACTATAACAGTAAGCAAGTGAGCAAGAAGAATTGTTGTGGGATGCTAATCAATAGAAACCGACAGAGAATGAACTTTGCAGAAAAAAAAGAGGGTCTAGAGAAGCCGTCCAGCTATAAGGCATTTGCGCCCAGTTGACACCATGGCAGCAATTAGCCGCAAGGATGGCAGTTAGAAGTAATCGCGCGATTGCTTTAAGAGATATGTAATCTTGCTTTACACGCTTGCAAATTTCACATTAGTAAAGATGATTTCAGTGCTTTTGCATTGCACTCTATACAAATAGTGACCCAGAAAACCGCCGTATGAAGAGGATTTATATACTTGATATTAAGGAGAAGTAAATATACTCCCTCCATTTTAATTTCTTTCAATTTACTCGCTTCTCACGACATTAACATCCCTAATACTTTTCTTAGATTTCTTGTCTGTGAGCTGTAAATATTATTCACTATAACCAAGAAAAACGCGCCCTTAAATTTCCTGTTTCATTCAATTACGCATAGGGGCATATGATAGACCGTAGGATATTATAATGTTGCTTGCGTTTTACCACGTACCTTGTTTTTTGGTGACAGTCCTTGAATAGTGACGCAAAAGAACAGTTTTTCAAGAACAGTGGTAATAATTCAAATATAAAAATTATAGTGGTTGATATCATCATTACTAGCTCAAATTGTATACACAATCAAAAAGCAGTTATTATTGCCCAACTGTTCACAGTTAACCTGAATATTTCTGGTGTAACATCATTAGTTCAATATTAGTATTTTTCTTTACCTCAGCTGAAATTAATGTGACATAATCTTATGAGCATTCTCGCATAGCTGCAGTGTTTGTGCGGACCTTCAACTGAGCAGTCTGTACTTGCTGTGGGCTTGAAGACCTTAGGAGGCTTTATAATTTGAATTAAAATACAAGATTCGAACACCGTCAGCCACAAGTAGTGTGTGGAAACTGCTAAATTGGGGAGATCTACCAAACAGAACTGATTTATATAGATTTTATAATATTTCACCATATTGGAGTAAGATTTAACAATTAGTAATAATTTCTGGGATTCAAAGTTTCATACCGAATTGTGAAAATGAAGGACACCATAGTCCAGGGCTCCTGAAACGGAGACCACGTGGTGTTCCTTAGCGAGCCAGTAAATCTATGTACAGCTCATTGAAATATTCCAATCGAAAATAAATGTAGCCGTCACACCCACGATACGATCCCTTGACCATCGGGTGAGAACTCGAGTATCACAACCGCTGATTCACCTTTATGGCGACTACTAATAAGTTATATACACTAACTCATGTAAGGTGTATAGGCATGAAATCTGAAAGAGTGTCTGTCATGCTTGTGTTTCCAGACAATCTGCAGAAATGGCGACTGCATCACACAAAAGCTGAAGCACAGACAATACAGACCCTACAAATGAAGTCGGTAATAAATAATAACATTACCATAATTTCTTTCTCTAGTTCACCTTGCTGCTTTGTTCTCTCATTAAGACAAGTAAACGATTCTGGTTGGTATACTTCCACGTTTATTTATAAGCAAAAAACATTTCTCCACATAGTGCTCGAACAGCGAACACTATTATTTTCCTCACGCAGCATTTAAAGCGATCATAATCTGCAGCCATTTCTGTGTGAGGGGCTTAGAAAAGAGGCACATAAATAACGTTACTGATGCCTCAATTGTGATACAAAACAATAAAAGATTGCGGCAAGTCGCGAGCATGAGTAATCCAATAGCACCTCCTTAATTTCTAAAGTATTACATAGTGTATTACGTAGCCAAAAGAAGAAGCTTACTAACCATCGCAATGGGAAAAAAAAGAAAATTTGTCGAAGCTCGGCTTGACCGTTTAGGCTTGTCTATTGCAGTGCTCTCGAAATACACGTGTACATAGACTTCACCTGTGGATTTCAAGCAGCACATTCAGGTTACAAGAAAAAAAGTTATTTGAAGAACCAGTCCATCTCTAAACTTTTATTCCCTCAAGTACGCTTCCGCCCCGCCGCGGTGGTCTAGTGGCTAAGGTACTCGGCTGCTGACCCGCAGGGCGCGGGTTCGAATCCCGGCTGCGGCGGCTGCATTTCCGATGGAGGCGGAAATGTTGTAGGCCCGTGTGCTCAGATTTGGGTGCACGTTAAAGAACCCCAGGTGGTCTAAATTTCCGGAGCCCTCCACTACGGCGTCTCTCATAATCATATAGTGGTTTTGGGACGTTAAACCCCACATATCAATCAAATCATCAAGTACGCTTCCTGCCCATTTCATCGAATTTACAGAAAAAAGACCGTAATGAAAAATTTGATTAAAAGGAAGCTACTGGAATAAGCACCATTCCCTGCGTTATAAGGAATGGAAAAAAATGTAATTGGAGTGTGAAGTTACAAAAGTGCGTTTTGGTGTGTTTGGTTTGTGACAGGTTGCCTTACCATTGAGGTATATGATACCATTATTTACTTATGTACGCCCTTAATCATTGCAGTTACGGTTTTATTGAAGTACTATAATCGGGATAGCAAGCACCTGCCCTCTTGACTTCGTACGTTTATTTGCCAGCGAAGAGAAGGCGTAGCCAGTTGTTAGGTTTTGCAGAAAAATGTCAGCCAGTGTAGTTAATAGCTGAAACAGGCTTTCTCCGGATGTCATGAAAATCAAACTCTTATGAATGATTCCTCATCGAGCGCACAACCGACAGCCAAAACAGCATGATGGTCCCGCCTTCGCAGCAGTCTATGAAACGTCAGCTGAACCAATCATTGAATGCTTGTTTTGTTCGTGAAGGGCTGCTCTTTCTCCCTACTCAAGTTTTATTTGACCTTCATTTTCTACCTCAAACACCATTATGAACATTAAAAATCTGTGAATAATTCTGAACAAGTCACAGTAGTTTCAGAACCGAACTCCAATATAGCATTTAGCAACTGCCATTTTTCTCTGTAAAAATGAGGCAGTTGTACTGCAATTTGCTCACGTATTAGCGAAAGTGTACAATTGTATGTATTCTATAACAATTGTTATTATCTTGAACACATACAAGTGTAAGCAATCTTGAGAGTTTTCAGCAAGGATAACACCACAGGCCCTATCTACGTGGCAGCTAGCACAAAATGATGGCAGGCGGCACTCAGCACTCCCATTTCTGAGAGGGTCGAAGTATTTACAATGGTAAATAATTGCTTGAGTGTTCCAAAAAGCATTCATCGCTACGGCACTGACACTGACAATTCTAACATTCTAATAGAGACTTTTGACTTCACACTTTGATTGGTGACAGCTTTTCACGCCCAATGTAACCTCTCCATCAATTTGTGCGCGAGTGGTGATTGTAAGAAAATGGGTACAGCGTTGTGCAAGTTTGTAAAATATTTACGGTATATCATCAGAAAAGATTGAAGAGATATAACCTATGTGAGAGCGGTGGTATCTGCTAATTTTACTGCTGCTATCCCACAAGGCCCCGCGCAGAGCCGTGGTCCCAGCTGAGGCTGCATAAGTTGCATCTTTTCTTTATTTTAACCTCCCTCTCTCTTACAAGGCTGTGCAACGTGTTTCTAATAAAGAATGAAAAAAGTTGCATATAAAATATCAGTATCCGTTATTTAGTTACCATAAGATGAAAATCTGCTTGGCATATGAGAAGAAGCCATAGAGTACGACAGAGAGTAAAAAAAACAGTCTGTAAAGGCTAAAGAAAGAAATTTAAGAAGGCTCTGCTGGCCGAAGGGCAATGGAAAGAGAAATGTCGCTAGAAAAAAATACATAAAGTTAATCGCGGACGACGCCGACTGATATAGTGTAATATCTCAGGTTTGCATTTCCGTCATGGTCAGTGAGTTCCTTGCCCGTCGTTCTACAGCTGCGCGATGCGTCACTATGGTCCTAGATCTTCTGCATGTAGCCAAATTGTCTTCCGTTTGGTAGGTTTGGAGCTGCGAGCAGGTCAATATTCATGACGAATAGTCTTAGTAGGCCTGCTACACTAAAATGCATAATAAACGATTCCTATAGACAAACTCCACTGGAATTACGTCACAAAAATGCGGTGGCATTGCCTTGGTAGGCAAAAGAGGCTCTGCCTAGAGCATTTTCTGCTTCGTTTTCAATGGTGCATGTGGTGTTCTGTGGATGGTGCATGTGAATCTGCGTCAAAAAAATTGACGGTAGATCCACGACCTGAATGATGATAAGATTGGGCAAAGATACCGGCAGTATTACCGTGAAATTTTCTTCCATTGATTCGCCCGATAAAAAAAGACGTGAAACGATTGATTAAATGTTTTATCAAACTTTTATTGCTGGTTTCTGTTTTGAAACGCTCATCAAAGGTACCTTACCACCCGTCAGAGAATCTTTACAGTTAGAGCAAACCTTGTAATCATCGGCGGTTGCGGCGGGAAACGCGCGCTGCAACGTGGCGATGGCATTATTGCGAGACTGTTCGTTTCTGATCGACGATATCTTGATTAGATTGTCGGAGAACCAGAATCTATCGCACACGTTACAGCTATGCCCAAAGTTGATTTTCAGCAAATCTCTATCGAAGCGGGCGTCTGCACCTTCGTGTTCTTTCTTGGCACGCTTTGCAGACGCCTCGCATTCTCTCAACTCTGAGTTTGCCTGGCGATATGCACGCGTCCTCGCCGCTTCCCATTGTCAAACGGTTTCAAGATCTGCTTCGCGACGTTGACGTGCTGCCTCGGCCTCTCGTTTCCGTATGGAAGGATCTTGCCGATGCTGACGTGCCGCTGCAGCTTCTTGTTCACGTACGGCGGGATCTTGCCGACGCTGCCTTGTTGATGTGGCTTCTTGTTCCCGTGCGGCAGAATCATGGCGGCGACGTCTCGCAGCTTCCCGGCACGCTTCTGCCTCGCGTGCTCTCACTTCAGTGTCCTGTCTGCGAGCTTGCGCCGCCGATGCCCTGCGCGCCCGCCTTTCGGCATCCTTATCCATACGAGCACACACCGACGGCAACGAGCATCGGCAACTACCAACCTGTATCGATATGGCTTTGATTATAAAACCATTGCTTTAGAAAGCACCTGGTATCTTTCCTTAAGCAGCTGGCGTCTTCTTTTTGTTTTGCTTTAAAAACATGTGGCATCTTTTTTTTTTTGCTTTCAGAAAACATCTGGCGCCTTTCGTTGGTTTATTTCATTATTCAACGGCGTTTTGAACAAAAAATGTTTTATTGTTTAATCACGCACAGGAGAAATCTCACCAGGCACTATTTTGGAGGTAAACACTGGCTGCTACTGGGAATGAGAGACAGCCTATGTCGGCTTTTAACACTTCTACTAACGTTTCCTACTGGAACATGCAAATGGCTGCTAATGGGGAATGAGGGACAGCCGCATTCGGCTTTTAGTTAACGCGCACGCCGCGAAATCTTTATTGTTCAACAAAGCAAAGGAGAAATCTCCCACCGGCCCCACCTTGCAGGTCAAAATGTAACACCACTTACACACTACGACTACGACTACGAGGGACGAACGGTTGCCGCTTTAAGCAGCTTCACCCCTAAAATGGCATGCCGACGAACTGCGTCACGGTTGGATGTGAGTCGCGTCTCACAACTTAGTTTCGTTTGTTGGCGCACATCGCAGGCCTCAGCGCTAATGGCGGAAGTTACGTGCGGACGTCACTATAATTTTACCCCTAATATCGACATCGGCCTACCTGTGTTTAAAAACATAGAATGGGTCTATATGTTTATCCGATTCACTCACTCACGTGTCGGGGGAGGTGGGAGGGCACGTCGTTGTCACACACTTCTTGTCATCTGTCCTTTAGGTTTCTGCGTGTATCTCCTGGCGTTGCCCTACGTTGTTATCTGGCTCTTTGCTTTTGAATAACCATGGCTATCTTGGATGCCCTTTGACAAAAAACGATGACTGTAGCAATATAAATTAAAAAAGAATACTAGTTCAGGGAACGGAAGTGAACTAATGTCATCTCAATGTAATCAAGACGAAGAAGGAGACATGGCAAACCCTTGAAGGAAGAAGCCAAGCAAAGAAGTTAAGCTTTTTTATCAAAACACAGAATAACAGAAAAAAATAGTAACCTTCTGGCTACTACACACGAGCAGAGGAGTTCAGAAGAGTGCAACGAAAAACGGAATGTCTTCCGCAGCCAAATTTTTTGTTATTCTTTGTCTCCAATTTAGTATTACCATTCTGAACGCACCTGGCCCACGGATGTCTCGATTGTCAGCTTGATAATATATAATTAAAAACTTCGAGAACAAACTACTCCACGGATAAGTTATCCTACATATTTCCTACGTTACTTAATAAATATGTGAAAGCTGGCATAGATTTTCACATTGTACACAGATTCAATTGCGCGATATACACATGTTTAGTTTTAACATTTCTTTGCAGTTGCTGTATTATCATGGTTGCTATTTTATTTTTGGAATTTGGACTTGATTTTTATATTTTTTATGTATTTTTATTTATTTATCTATTTGGTGTTTTTGTTATTGTTGTTGGCTTCACACTGCTGATTGTTTGTCACTGCTGTCGTGCTAAAAGGTAGCTGTGGGCCTTTGTCAAGCTGCCTCTTTTGGAGAGCAGCTTTTACCTTCAGCTGTCTTTCATCAAACTATTGATGAAAAATAAACATTATTATTACTATTATTATAATACAAATATAGTGCTTTCATTTTGGGTTCCCTTTACACAAATCCTCGTATTTGAAATTGGCTGATAAAATTGTGACGTGATCGAAGGTCTACAAGGTGTCTATGAGTTGCTCCACAAATACCAACTATGAGAGACAGAGTTAATCATCTGCAATTTTTCAAGCCCGTGACATCTCCGGTTGTGAGCGTTCTTCTATAAGTCCCACACGCTTAGCTCTAGAGGCACTGCCTATGCAGGCTGAGTAGTTTCTTCGAAACAGACCTCCTAGCGTTTACTATCTTTTCGCTGTCTCTCAAACTGGTGAGCAGTGCGTATGCGTACTGTGGCTCCACCTTTTAGACTACAAGAGAATATACTTTACTTTTCGCACGTGTTTAGAATCTGTATATACGCTTTCAGGCTCTCCTGTTCCCATATCTACGTGTGTTTTTTTTAATTAAAATGTTCACTTGGCCAAGTGCCCCCGCCCCCAAACTTGATGTTTTTTTCATCCCGTGTTCCCGCTATTTTTCAACTTTGCATTAGTGTAACTAGCCCATTTTTGATCGCACTTCTTTTTACGTATTCCTCCCCAACCTATTTGCGGCGGAGCACAGAGACAGTTGATAGTAGGTCATCGTTCACTAGTTCTGGGCTGATAGCGAATATTACGTTCGTTAAACATGAAGCATTCCTTTTGCACATGTGTGTTAATTAACTGTAATAAATGTTCAAAGTCCTGGTGAACATCAAGAAGTGTTGCAAGAGGGCGACAAAGATGACGACCGGAAAAAAGCTTATGTTGTTGCTGCTCTGCCATCTTGGTTGAAGGACGCTGTGGGTTCAGTGTACACTCTGTAAATATATTGATTTCCTCCTTTTTGTTACTAACATCTCATGGCAATATGTGATGCTACGTCCCGAATTACCGATATGAATATGAAATACGCCGTAGCAGAAGGTTCCGGAAGTTTCGACCATCGTGTGTTTTTAACATGGAATCCCGTCACACAGTACACTGACGTTTCGCCTCCATCGAAATTCGACTGCCACGGCCAGGATTGAAACCATGACCTCATTGTGCCAACAGACGAGCACCTTAGTCCTCGATCCACCGAAATGCACAGAGACCTTCATGAAGAGAAGCTGACTTAAAAACCGTTCAAAGTCGTTGAAATGCCCACAACAGCGCTCCTGTTGCGTGAACACTTCTAATATTCATTTACGTATATGCAGTTAGCTAGAAAACTAGAAACAGTGCTTAACACAGTAGCACTGCACAAAAACGGAGAAAAGTCGCTTTTGTCGGGATTCCCTGTGGTTCGCGCTGTTAGAATGTGTACAAACCGATCCAAACAAAAACTGCAGTGCAGGAAGGGAAGACACTACCGCGTAAAAGAGTGTAGTACGACACTTTGTGATTCGCGACCTTATGTTTGACACCCTGAGGACCGCTTTACTTTTCCGAGTGAAGTCTCACTTATTATGTGTTTGACCACTCACATTTTTCCAGCAAACAGTGCAGCCATTGCGATCTGCAGCAGCTGTCCACTCAGCTGTCACGCCATTTCAGTCGACTTGACGAGAGTGGTCAAGGAGGGTTGTCGGCTTTTATTAGCAGCTTATGCACTCTGAAAGCTAAGGGCAAAGGCTGACGCACATTTACACATTTACGAGTAGCTGTGAACGTGACGCGTTGGAAACAAAGATTTCAGGAATATGCTAAAGAAAATGTTCGTCAACCCTCTTAAAATACGCGAATAAAAAGAAATCCCTAGCGACAATAGACGAGCTCCCAAGCGATGAAACAATGAGAAGCGGGAACTCCAAATATGCTGGTTCCGAAGTTCCCTTCTAATACAGTCCGCTCAGGGGCCAGTAGTTTGTATTGCTGACTTTCAAGCTACAGCAAAGAAATTAGCCATACGATGTTTACCCCACGCGAATTTCACAGCCCGATTTGGTGCTTTGCGGCTTTATGCTTTCTACAGTTTATAAATTCTCTGTTGTCCCTCAAGCGTAAGTAACAATGATTCAATTGCTAAGGCCTAGTATTTGTTTTGTATTCATCTTATGACGAAGGCCTCACTAGTACTAGTGCCTCACTAGTAAGACCTAAGCAACCGAAGGCATCCGCATCTGAGCTGATCGTGGCTTCAGAATCCTGCGGCTGCCTCGTTTTTTTCCCGGCGGGCCACTGCTCTCCTCTTTTGCGATGTGGACGAAGTCGCTACTAGACATGAGTTGTTGTCAGACACAATGCACCGTTTCACCCTAGGGGCCACTCAAACGCCTATGAACGGATACTCCACTTGTACTCAGCTGATCAGGTTTTGTAGCGTTAGCTCCACTGGCCTCGCTGAGCCGATTTCGCGTGGCACTGGTCTGCGCATGCGCAATGATACTCCGCCGCCCCTGCGCGCGGCTCGCCGCCGGTGTGCGCGCAATTCGATGCGCTGCGCAGACGATCAGCGGTGTCATGCACCGGAGTCGGCACCTCCCTCGCACTCGGTGACGGCCGCGTGCGACTTGCCGCCGCCTGTGTGCGCTTTCCAGAGGAGTGCTGTCATAGCCTTGGTAGACATATGGACGCCGGCACGCGCACCTTCCCTGTGCAGTCACCATCTGACACTGCGCTGGAGCCGCTTGATAGCGCCTCTGACTGGCGTTTTTCACTGTGGTATAGTCATGGAGAAGGAGTGTGCAAATGCTGCTCAACGGTGTAGTAGAGCGGAGAAGCTTAGCTCATCGGATCCCGAAGTAGTTGCCCGGCAAAATAAATATACGTGTGTCTTCGCAGCAGCAGTAAACACGATAATCAAGCTAATCATAGACACTCTGGAAAGCTAAGAATAATCAGCTGAACCTTTGCTAACGCTACGTGTATCCTGGCATAGCTGAGCTAAGCCACTGCCATTTTTTTCTGAAACTTGGTTTCAAGCACTGAACAGTATGTGTGCCCTAATTGGTTTTCACGTCACTACAAATTTTTCGTACTAGGATGTGATAGATCCCCAGTCAGTGTTGAGTATTTGCGCAGACAAACAGGAAGACGGTGCTCTTCACCAGAGCTTCATCATTCTCTTAAAACTTTTTGTCCCCGCTCAATGGCCTTTATTCAAACGCATGTTGTGTAATGACGTTAGCAATTACTTCCCTCTTTGTGTAGAAGAAGTGCAGGCAGAATGCAACTGTTAACGTTAGGCAATATACATTACGTGTTTCAGGAGGCTTAGAAGCTCAAAAATGTATCCTAAAAAAGTGTCTCTAGTATACATGGCGCAACAGCACTTTGCGAGTCATTTATTTGTAATTCCATGACCTCCCACAAAGAGCGAACGGGTCAAAATGTCATGGGGCCGTCTACCTACAATAGCTATAGAGCTATGAATACAGGCCGCAGAACCAAAGAGTTTCTGAAATCGGTAGTCTTGACAAACTCTGTGGGATCGGTTATGCATTAAAGCGACTCAGGACCTTCCCGAACATGAGCTTCACTTTAGTTGTGACAGCGAAGTTCTTGATTATGCCCCACTACTACAAGCAAGTAAGAGTGGCGAAATGTTTACGGAATGAATGATCCTTTAGGTCTGTCAGACTGACAAAGACATCAAGTAGGAACAGGAAAGTGTCCTTATGGTGAGTCATCCGAGGAGCAAAAGAAATTTTTTTCGCAGAAAAGATGTGTTAAGACTGTTACGTTGCCACTCAATCAATGACAAATTCAATGATGTCAATGACAAATTGGCCTTGTTGCTGTTTGTTGCATTCTTATCTTAAAAAGTACGCGAATAAAAACTAAATCTCGAGTGACAAGTGACGAGCACCCTTGCGACAAAACAATGAGAAGCGCGAAGTCCCAATTTGCCGGTTTCAAACTTCCCTTCCATTACAGTCCTCTCAGAGGCCGGTACTTCGTATTGCTGACTTCTATGCCTTCTACGCCTCGTGGAACAGGTCGCATATAAATAAGCCGGCATGTCATATAATAAACAAGACGACGAAGGCAAAAGCAAGAAGTGCACACCTCGTAGCTCCGGGCACACTATTAGAACGGTCAGCATGGTGTAATATACTCTGAAAGTTCTAATGAGAATTACAAAAAAGGGAAAACACGAGTGTTATGCCATTACTGAGCTGTGAAAGCTATAACGTCACAAGTTCAACGTGAGAAACGTAGAAGTGACAATCAAAGAAAAAATGTTGAAGGCCTCATGCTCTACCTAGAAGAAAGATAGAAAGGTAAACAACGGGAAAAAATAGGGTGTAATTGACGATTATAGCGCGCAGTCCACCAGACACATACGTGCTATGCATCCTGCACCTATACGCCACTTGCATGTCACTTCTTCAATATGCAAGAAGGACCTGTAAAAGCTGAAATTCTCATTTATTTGTAACAGATATCAGCATTGCACAATAAAAATTAGGGGCCCTTTGAGCTTCGCCTTTAACAGCTAAAAGCTATAGCGATATCCTGTTTCTAGTGCGTACTTCAAACACTTAGTGGATGAAATCTTTTCGAGCTTGCTGTAGACCCACTACGTGGCCATAAATTCAATATGATAATCACGTGTTCTGATGTCCGATGGTACGGTACCCTTGTACTGTGGATCACTACCGCAATATTTTAGGTTGTATTGGGAAGCATGCATTCGGGACATGTGTATTTGGAAATTATCAATGTTACTTTGGCAGCATTTTCAAGCAGATGAATTTTTTTTTTCTCGGTATTCTCAAGCATCCTTGGAAACCGCATTTGTATTAAATACAGTAATAAAAATACGCGCGGTCGTATGGTAGAACACCAGCTTGCCACGCAAACAACGTGAGTGCAATACCCACTCAGACCCCAAATTCTTTTGTTTGTTTTATTTGGATCTTTTCCTATTTCTCGATCACCCACAAGAAGACTTTTCGCTCACAACCTGCGACACGAAAGCCAACGCCGGAATATATATGAAACCATCTTTTCATTGCTATCGCGTTTAAAAATTGCGACACTGTAGTGTCGGAAGAAGACATTCTTCACGCAAAGCAAATTGCAATATGAAACTACCAGCACAGATAAGATAGGTCGGTGGTCATCTGCCTGTTTATAAGTGCTTCTCCCTAATGCACTTTTTTTACGCCAGTTTGGGTCGTTTGCAGTTCTCTTTAATGGCAATGCCTTAATGACAAAGTTGTTCCAGCTTTCCTGACTTATTTTTTGCTGAATATGTCTTTGACCTATCCATTACTGAGGTCAAAATCGATCACTTCAAAGCTTCAAATTTTAAATATGTTCCAGCTGTTCACAAAGACTTCAAAAGAAGAAGATGCACACATGATGATGCGCCATTGTTATGCGAATCCGTCCACCTATACACATAAACCAAACTAGCGATTCCACCTAGAGTCCACCAACAACACCACCATGAGTCTTACGTGCTAAGTACTTCTAGCTATATAGTTGAAGGCCATAGCCAACGTACTTCATAGCTGGCTTAAGATCTCGTACACGGCAGCAATTCTAAGATGCCGCCTTGCCCAAGGTGTTCGAGTCAGTCACCCGAAGTGCCACCTTTATCATTGACGGTGGGCATGACATGACAGGAGTCAGTCCTATCTTCCACCCGGCTAGCCCGAAGAAAACTGCCGGATTCACTTACACTGACTGAGTGGAACACACCAAGCATACGACGTACCAGACTACATGAACTTGACCCTTCATTACAATTCCAGCCTCAACCCGGCCTACATCAATGTGAGATTTCTCTTCCCTATCGCCTTTGGCTGGGAGTTGCTTTCACCAAAGCTTATATCATGTTAATTGGAATGACTGACAGTACATCATGTGATGTTTGCGGCAACGATGAGAATATCCAACACCTGTTGTGCCACTGTACTTTATTTGCCTCAGAGAGACAAGTACTTGCCAATGCAAGGCGTTGACTGAATGATCGGCCTCTTGCTGTGCAGGTGCTAATACAGCACCATCCACATCTCTCGACAGCCCACAAGGCAGTGAAAGCCTTCTTGTGTTTCTTGAAGAAGACGGGTTTGTGTGAACGCCTCTGACTTGCAGTGGAGTTCTGCACGCTTCAGGAAATTTACTGTCTGTTCCTTTCTTTTCATTTTCTTCTCTTCCTTCCTTGTCATCTTTCTTGTCCCCTTCCCTGATCCCCCAGTGTAGGGTAGCCAACCGGATGTCTTTCTGGTTTACCTCTCCGCTTTTTGCCCTTTTGTTGCTTCCTTCCTTTCGCTTTCAATAGTACTTAATCACTTATTGATAGAGTCAGTTGCCTAACTTGCGAAGAAACTTTGCATTATGATGTGGGCGTCACAATATTAAGTGCAGGAGTCTTGTAAAGTACATGCTTTGAAATACGTGCGAATACCACAGCACATGGGCGTACGTAATAGGGTGTTTGGTAGGTTCAACTCTCCACCCTCCAAAAATTGTGAATTTAATTGTGTGCACGTTTGTGCACCTTTGCAAGCGCACACGCGAACATACATACCGTATGGTTAAAATTCTCCCCTACCCTAAAAAAATTATTTGGCTACGCTACTGCTGCCGCGTCACATAAAATTTAGTGGGCAGACAATGGAAAAAGCGTCTGTTATGCAACCAACTTTTATTTAACCCTCTGACAGTGTCGGAAGCAGTTGGCGTTGTTTACCCACATCTAATTGAAGGACGGAACGAAGCCGGCGAAATGGTTGTGAAACTAACAGATGGTATCACGTTGAACCTGGAGAAAAGCTCAGTAGTAGGAGAAGAGTTTTTGTTGCGAACGTACCAAGGTGACGTCATGGAACACAACTATGTGAGTATTATATTATACTCCCTTATGGTAAAGAAATATTGGCACTTCATCGCAATTCACTACTACATACTAAGCGAAAAAGTGAGCATCGGGTGGCTCTATTTGACTGAAATGCTTTTGAATGAAAAAAAAAATGTTAATACGTGTCCTCACTTTGCTTATAATGTGTCCAAAATATTCCACACAGAGCACGTGTTTGTGATTTCACGACCTCTGTTATATATGTCACCAGTGTTGTTTGAGCAGAAACCAAAATTTTCATTTCTTCTAGAGTGAAAAAGAGGCACCTGTACAGCTAACTATTGTGCGATTACGTGTCATTTAATGGCGACGTTGTAAATTGACAGAATTGAAAAGGAGCGGCTGTTAAGATGAACTGAACTTCAGTATTAGGTGTCCTGGTAATATTTTCGAAGCCCTGCTTTGTCTATGCTTAATACTCTTCCACAATAAAATGCGTTTCACAGTGGCCCCGCTGTGGTGGTCTAATGGCTAAGATACTCGGCTGCTGACCCGCAGGTTGCGGAATCGAATCCCAGCTGCGGTGGCTGCATTTTTGATGGAGGCGAAAGTGCTGTAGGCCCGTGTGCTCAGATATAGATCCACGCTAAAGAACTCCAGGTGGTCGAAATTTTCAGAGCCCTTCACTATGGCATCTCTCATATTCACATGGTGGTTTTGGAACGTGAAACCCCACATACCCAACATCAATTGCTTCATGGTGTTTCTGTGCTAAAATATGCCTTAGAATAATGCACTTAAACAAAGCTTCCAGAGTGATAACATCAACTATCGCGGAAGACACGCATCAGCTGTTTGCCATAATTTTGGTACACAGGGAGGGCGAGCAACACAACTAAGAAAGAGCTTTACCTCGGTAAAAAAGCGCGTATAGCTATGCAATAGATTCATCATTTTTTTTTCTCATAGGTCAAATTTGGTTGCCAACTCCATGTGGCATTGAGTTGTCTCCAATTAAAGGCAACATTTTGCCAGGCAGTTTCAACAAGGTTTGTCATAATGAGGGCAAATATAGCTATGGTTTGAAAGAGGAATAAATGTTTCCAAAATGCAGAAAATGTTTTGTTTAGCGGGTACCACTAAGCTGTATGAATATTATCTGAAGTAAACAAGTGGATCATTAGCAACAGTTTTAAAGATCATAATTTTTGTTTGTAACAAAACTTTTTGTACAGTTCTGATTACTGTGACATATGTTACTGTAGTGTGGCTCCTTGCGATATACGCATTTTTATTATGAAAATAAAGTAACGTGAATGATTACAGGAGTATTTTATGCAAAAAGGTGCCCAAACAATTGTATCAGACAGTCATCGGGTGGCTCTAAATGATGAACGATTTGCGAGTTCGAATATTCATTCATATTCTGTCAGCATGCCATGAAATAATTTATCGCATGCTATTACTCATCCCCTGAGCGGATTTTTAATGCTTATGTGTAGAGTCCTTTTTTTAATAAACATTCTAAGTATGCGCTCACTTTGCTTTCATACCTGTCCCCCTCTCTAATGTGTTTGCTACATACTTCGAAATAAATAAAATTGCAGCATGAAGGAAGCATAGCAGTAAAGCCACCAAATCGCAGAAAAATCTTCCTACCAGACAGATTTTTTTTCCTCCTCTGCAGCTGGACGGGCAATTATTGGAAGAAAACCTGTATCAGGACCTCAACTTACATGCCTCTCTAATTGTGTCTGAAAGCAATGGCCTGACTGTGGTGAGACCTTATTTGGTGTTTAACTATGTCCTATAATATTTGAAACACATTCGAAGAAAACCCTAAGCAAGGTTTTTTTTACAGTCCAACCCAACGTTTTTGAGCACAAGCAACTGTTATATGTAGGGTGCAATAGCCTGAGGTGTAACACTGCGTATATGTGTCTTTATAATTTTGACAGGCTGACAGGCTCCCGTCAAAGATTTAGAAGGTAAACGGCAGGAACTGTCTTTGACTAACCAGTGATGTTAATAGACGGTTGTCGTACATTCTGAAACACTGCTTCCATTGATATGCTGTAAAAGCATTGTTCTAGACAATTGAAATATTCGCTGTAGGTTTTTTCTTCTCTTGAGTTGAATTTTCTCTAAAAGCACCAACTACTGCCCAGAACATAAAATGAGATGACTACACAGATAAAAAGATTGTACCTCATAGTGACTTCAAGCAGCCCTGTTTCACTTGTGAAAAGTGGAGTTATATTTCTATTTCTTCAATGAAAAATCGCGGATGGATGGATGGATGGATGGATGGATGGATGGATGGATGGATGGATGGATGGATGGATGGATGGATGGATGGATATGGCTGTACACTTTAGATCGGGCGGTGGCTAGCGCCACCAAGCCGTAATACCAAATGAACCAAAAACTATATTTATTTTTTTTCCTTAAAAAGTGAGTTTGAGGATTGGTACTTTGCAGTGAAGAGTTTAATTTTCACTCGTGCCTTGACTTTAGCCACCAATCAGATAACCTCCTTCTCGTTAAGTCTACCCGCTTAAAGTTTATTTTGCCCTCCCAGTCCCTAAACCCCAGTGCTTTGAAAAACTCTGCGCCATCATCCTGAACTATAGGGTGAAGCCATTTACAGAACATTATCAAGTGTTCGGCAGTTTCTTCTTCCTCTCCACACGCACTGCATACTGTGTCTACCCCTTCGTATTTGGCCCGATATGTCTTGGTTCGCAGTACTCCCGTCCTGGCCTTAAACAGTTGAGAATTACCCCGAGTATTATCATAGATCCTTTCCTTGGCAATTTCCTGCTTAAAAGTTCGATAGATCTCTAGTGCGGACTTCTTAATCATGCCCATTCTCCACATGTCAGTCTCCGTTTCCCTCACTTTCTTCTTAACCGATAGTTCTTTTTGGTTTGGCCACCTGCTGTTTTCTAAGTATTTACCAGTCAACTTCCTGGTTCGCTTCCTCCATTTTGTATCCACATTCTTCATGTACAAGTAGCTGAAAACCTTCCTAGCCCAACGCTCTTCCCCCATTTCTCTCAATCACTTCTCAAATTTTGCTGCTAGCTTCCCTGCCCTCAAATGATGTCCATCCCATAGCACCTTGTACTCCCTGATTTGGTGTATTCCCGTGAGCTCCTAAAGCAAGCCTGCCTATTCCACGTTGCTGAATTTCTAATCTTGCTTGAACTTCTGATCTCATGCACAAGACCGCATTGTCGAACGTCAGCCCAGGAACCATGACCCCTTTCGATATTCCTCTCACAACATCATACCTATTGTAATTCCACAGTGCCCTATTTTTCATGACTGCTGCATTCCTGTTACCTTTAATCGTCACGTATATTTCGTGTTCCCTCAGTTACTCGGTCCCAGTGCTTATCCATACGCCCAGATATTTGTATTTATCTGTTATCTCTAGCGTGACCTTCTGTATTCTAAGCTCACTACCTTCGTTGTCATTTAAAATCATGACTGCTGATTTTTCCTTACTGAATCTAAAATCTAACCTATCTCCCTCATTACCGCAGATGTCCATCAATCTCTGCAAACCTTCCATGTTGTTGGCCATTAGCACCATATCATCTGCGTACATTAATGCTGGTAGTGCCTGATCAATAAGTTTTCCTTGTTTGACTAAAGAGAGGTTGATGCCCAGTCAACTTCCCTCTAATTTTGCCTCTAATCCTTGTAGGTACATCATGAATAATAAGGCTGACAGGGGGCACCCCTGCCTAAGCCCCCGTTTTACCTCTGCAGGCTTGGATACCTGTTTTTTCCACTTTATAACTACCTTGTTACCTTTATAGATACCCTTTGAAAGATTAGTGACTACATGTTCCACGTCTAGTGTGTCGAGTATTCCCCACAATTCCTCTTAAACCACGCTATCGTACGCTCCCTTGATATCCAAAAATGCTAGCCACAGGGGCCTGTGTTCTTTTCTGCTATTTCGATGCACTGCGTCAGTGAGAACAGATTGTCTTCCAACCTCCTGTGTTTCCGAAACACATTCTGCAGTTCCCCCAGCACCCCCTCATCCTCTATCCACGCCTGCAGTCTTTTATTTATAATCTGCATCGCCAGCCTGTAGACCACTGATGTCACTGTTATAAGACGGTAGTTGTTTATGTCAGCTTTGTCCCCCTTTCCTTTATAGATCATGCTCATCCTGCTAAGTTTCCATCCATCTGGAACTTCACCATCGATTATTATTGTGCTCACTGCCTTTCTCAAAGCCTGCTTAGACTTCGGACCTAATGTCTTTATCAGCCTAATAATGCCATCTGGGCCTGTTGATGTACTACTAGGAACCCTTTTCTCAGCCCTTTCCCACTCTTGTTGTGAAAATGGAGCCATTGCACCACTTGATTCGTCCTTGTCTATTATGGTGCATAAAGTACTTCTTTGTTGAAATTTTTCTGTCACCCTTGTTCTTACATATTAAATAGGTTCGTCCCCTTCTAGCCAAGCACCTTGGGCTGTAGTTATAAAACTCTGCTCTATGCTCGTCTCATTTCTTAGGGAGTTTAGATGGTTCCAAAATTTCGCAGCTGCCTTTCTATCTTTTTTATGTACTTCTGCCAGCCACTGAGCTCCCTTCCTTCTAATCTTTTCATTGATCAGAAGGGATGCATCCCTTCTACAGCTTAGAAAGGTTTTCTTTCAACATCATCTGTCGGTTCACCCCGCTGCTTAGCATGTCTGTGTTCCCTAGAGGCTTCCTCACATTTTGCTATGGCTCTCTTAACTTCCTCAAGCCCCCAACTTTTGGGTTTGTGTCTTCTTTTCCGGGGTGACTTGTCACGCGTCTTAGCAAGCTCTAGCTCAAAGAGTCTAATTAGATTTGTGTATGTCCACACTGTCTTATTATCCTCCGTGATTACTTTCTCAGTTTGTTTAGTGGCTATTCCAATTTGCCATTGTGGATAAAAATTTTTTGTAGTTGCTCATCTTGTCTCCTTCCCACTTTCACTGCTCTTCCAAAGCTTAGCTTGATACGTTTGTGATCGCTACCCAGACTTCTGGAGCCACCTTCATCTATGTGCGTTCCCCTGAGCTTATCATACATCCTATGTTACATCAGTGCATAATCTATCGTCAACTGAAGCCTTCCTACCTCCCATGTTAATTGCCCTTCACACTTCTCGGTACTGTTGCAAATGATCAAATCAATCCTTTCACACATATTCATGATCATTTTGCCGGTCGGGTCGGTATACCCATCTATATCTTCTATGTGCGCATTCATGTCTCCTAGTATAATTATCTCGCACTCTCTTCCTAACTCCTGAATGTCCTTTGATATACACTCTACAATTGTCTGGTTTTCCTCTCTGGCCTTTGCTCCCGTCCACAAGTACACGAAACCAAGGAGTGTCATTTGACCTGCCACTTTTCTTTTAGCCATAAATGTTCCTTGCGCTCCTGCTTGACCCTTTGCCAGTCTGTACTTTTATGAATGATTGCCCCAATACCACCCCCCTTTCTGCTGCCTTCTGTTCTATTACAATACTCCCACGCGTAGTCCGGATTGTTCGGAGGTTGTTCCATGTCCCTGAGATGTGTTTCTACAAAACCGTATACCATCGGCCTCTCTTCCCTTAGCTGTTCTTCTATCTCTTCCCACTTCAGCCTGTTCCTACCACCCTGCATGTTAATATACCCTATGTCTGAATTGGCTCGGCGCTCGTGGCTACGTCTATTTATGCCCCGGACTCTACCTATCTTAGATATTGGTGCCACTTTGGAATCGTATCTGTCCATACCACCTGTCGAAGAGTCTCCCTGGTTGTTTTCCTCGTTACTAGCTATCCTGCACCCCGAAGGGCCCGCTTGCCCCCCAAAAAAGCTACTGCGCGTCCTGCAAGTCGCCAACCCACCTCATGACCTAGCCGCCCATCGAAGTGAATTCTGTCTCGTTGAACCCCCCCCCCCCCCACCTATGCACCTCTCTGTTTATTTCTACCACCTCAAAGCCTTTCTCTCGACTCATCCGCCATATCTCTTGGTTTGCGTTGACCACCGCTCTTTGCAGGTTGCTATCACGCACCGGTACCTCCGGTATTGTGCATATCACTACCTGTACCTTAGGCGAAGTGGCGCGCATGTCATCGACGCCTTTAGCCAGTGTGGCTGCTAGTCCTGCTGCATCTTCATTTAGGACATCGTTTAAACCGCCTGAAATTATCACGAGGTTTCGTCTATCAACTGTCGTTTTGACCTTTGCGCTCGCTTGCCTCATGACAGCTTCCAGCTTGCGTCCTGGGAACGCCCCTACTGCAACCCTCTTGTCACCTCTTACCCTCTCTTTGATGGCTTTTGTGCATCGATTTAAATTCGAGTCCCCGGCGATTATCACATGCTGTGACTTTTCAGCTTGAGTGTTCTGCACCTGGGGACTACTTGCACCTGTGACGCCGGCTGCTTTGTTCCCTCCCTGCCCCACCACTACCTCGCTGAAGCTGGGCCTTGCGACAGTTGAACCGGCTCAACCTGTTTTTTCCAAACTTGTTCGCTTTTCCTTCTCCACCGTTCTGGTTGCCGGTTCCCTACTGTTCTCTCGGTAGGTCGCTTTTTTGTTCAGCTTCGCTAGCGCTTCCTCGGCGGACTTCAGTCTTTCTCCCATTGCCCTCGTTTTCTCTTGCTCTGTCGCCAACGCAGTCTCGAGCTCGGCGATTCTCATCAGCAGTTCACTCTGGGCAACCATCATTTTCTCTATTTTTTCTTCGACCTCACATTGCCTACACTTCGCGT